AACAAGCAATATGTTAAAAATAATTGCTCCATCCAAACCACTTTCAGAAATATATTCTCGTTTATATTTATAGATTGATATGATCATTATTACGGAACAGGTAGTGGGCTTATTATACACTGAAAAGAAAAGAAAATGTTTTGGCTGTGGACCCTTGTTCAAGTGTGGAAGAAGGCTCCACGCCTGAAGAAGGCTCCACAGCCGAAACGTTGTGTTTCCTGTCTTTTCAGCGTGGAATAAACCCACTACCTGTTCCTTTGTAGCCTCTGCATGCCGACGCAGCTACCTGTTATAACTACCTTTCATCAATGTTGTTATCAATAATTTAATTTAGATTAATAATTCAATCTTATTCTGATTTAAATTAGATTTTAAATAAGAAAAGAACGTTTGTCTCGCAAAGTATGACAGACACTTGTGGCCGAAGCAACCGTGCTACAAAAAAAATCTCACCTTTTCATTCATGTCTATTTTCTACAATTCGTTGTTATTTGCAGATACAGATTTTTTTCATACAAGATTCATTCTGTTTAGTGGCTTATATGTATAAATAGTAAGGCTGCATTTTAATTCTTACATAGAAAATTGGAAAAAAAAAGTATGCATATCGGGAATGAAAGGTTCAAGACTGTACTAGTCACAGACTTACTGAGTGATTTATAGAAGCGTAGAAGTATGACACACTGAGCAGAAACATTATTTTTGTCTTATAACAACAGGCCAACTACTCAAGATTCACTCACAAACCCTTGGTGTAATACTCCTAAATTTAAGAACTCTGCTAAACGTAATAATATGACTATAGTGCAATCTTAACCATGGAAAAATTGCAAACCACATTTTTTCCACATTGCTCTCTGGACATGTCAACAGTGACTTTACAACAAGGCAAAGGACAACCCAAAGCATCCCTATCAGGTTATTCTGCAACCCAAAGGTACCAAAAGCTTTTAAGTTCAAAGAATACAAGACACTCCTTGCAGTATCCTCCCTCAGTTGATCACATCTAAGTTATTAATGAAGCTCAAGATGCTCCAAGTAAAAATAATGACTGGTCGCAAATAAATATCCACATTTACAGCACAGAATTGCTAGAGAACCACACAAACTAAACAGAAGTCAGGTGGAGTTCACCCCATATTATGGTTGATCCCTGTACTTGGAACAATTTCAACTGGTCAAATGATTTTACTGAAGGTGCAAAAAAGGTGAACATCAGAGACACAGACAGGGGCCTTACCATAACTTAAAGTACATAGTGCATGAAGGACCAGCATTATTCTGGACCACCCCCCAAAAAAAAAAAAATATTCTATAGATTAAAAAAACCCGGACAATAAATTGATCATCTCCCCTCTCTACAACGCTCACACTCGTTGGTCTTCAGCGGGTGACGTCACAGCTGCGGTTTCCTTTTTCTTAACAATAGCAGAACCAGAGCTGTGCACTTGCAGAAGAGCAGGAACTGAATTTCTGGCAGCTGGGGACAGACTTCTTTTTTTTTTTTTTAAGGTGTAGAAAATACTGAACCTCTTATTAGTCATATTTTATCGGCGATCTGTCACATGGCCAAACGTAGTGCAATCATTAACAGCAGGAATTTTATGTGCCATAGATACAGCTCTCAGTTGTATTATGTAAACACAAAATCCAGTGAATACCGCACTGGAAGAACATCCCACTCCTGTCACTTCAATTCCCATGTTTCAACTCATTTCCACAGCTACGCCCTTCCCGAAAGTTTTACTTAACACGGTTACAGAAACATTTCTTTCAAAATGCATACAGGCAGCAATTTTGCCTTAGCAAAACATGCTGTTCGTTTTTCATCAATCTGAAAATTGGCCGGACGAGACGTTTTTCCTCATTCCTGCCAAAGCGGTCCATCTGTTCATCAGTCACAGATACCGCGCTGCAACACAGCCTCAACCCAAACCAAACGCTGCACAGAACAGGAACTAGACAAAACCTAATACATACACTCAGCGTGAAGAATAATTAAAAAACCCGCGTCCCTGGAGATCTGATTTCATCTCCTCCCTAGATAGGTGTAAAAAAAAAGTGCAATTTACATGCTTTATAATGTTGACGTTTACCGTATGTCGTATACAACTTTCTTTTGCTATTTAGTTGACAGCAAACGGAAGTTCGAGCCAAATGCATCTTACTTGAAAAATTAAGACGCAAAAGCTTAAGAGAACAATTCAACACACACGAGGAAGTAAGGAGGGAGTTGCAAAAACCACGAAGTTACCTCTACGGTGGCTCCAAAAGCTAACGAGTCATGTAAAACAGTTGTGTTAGCATATGGGCAGCGGCATTCCCATTGCTCTCAAGAAACGTTAAAAACGGGGTAAACTCGGCATATCTTTTGCAGAATATTGTTACAAGTGCGGTTTCCCAAAACACTAAATTTGAAGCCGAAGAAAGACCATATAAGGTATAAAAATCGTAAATCAGGAAGAGGTTTTGACACAACTAGGAAGTCCTTCTGCGCCTGCTCAAAAACCAAGGGGTTTCATTCCGACAGCCATCTAAAGCACGGAAAAAAAAAGGGGGATTCAAAACATGTTCACACCACAGTTTAATCCCCGTCGCTGCCATTTTAAAACACCCCTTTTAGGAACCTGAAATCGGGAAGGGCTCGGTGCTCGCCCGGACAGAGAAACACTTCTTTGCTTGAGTTTTGGGTGGACCCGTTCAATGAAGCCACTCAGACAGGAAGAAGATGATTTTCTGATGATGAAAGCAAATAGCTCCTTGCGGCTATTATGTAGCAGCCTAATTATACTTTTTTTTTCCCTCTCGCAAAGATAAGACTAGGGAATCTATCTGCGATAAAGCCTACAAGGTCCCGTCTTGCCCCCCCCCCCCAAAAATGCAAAAGGGCCACATTTTTACAACCGGGAGATGAATTAAGCATTGTGCTGGCTCAAACACACACACACACACCCAATACAGAACTGACTGAAAAGGCAATATGACTCTACCATCTCACCTCCGCTTCCCTGTGCTTGGTATTCAATTGAATTTTTCTTACCCGGTACCACAGTCCACTACACAAGCCGGTAACCGTCCTGCCATCTCTTCCGCTCCTGTCGGCCGGGGTTAAAGATGCGTATTTGGAGGGGGAAAAAAGTGTCTGTGCCGGGGCTGAATGAGAGGTGCTATCTGACCATCCAGAGGCGGAACCCTGAACCCTCACAGTGAAGTTTCTACTTCCGCACTCAGCAGAGGAGAAGCAAGATGGCTGAAACCACAGGCAGCTACACGGGCAGGGCTAGCGATCTGTCAATCACGGGGCAGAGAAATATAAAACCTACTTCCACACCGTTTTAATTTCATTTTCCTGAAAACAAAATTCTACCCCCCCCCCCCCCCCAGAAAAAAATCAGCCGGAGGGGATATCCGTGGTTTGGTACTCTACTTTGTACTGGAAACAGTTCATAGAGCTAAAAAATACATCTCCAACCAGTAACGTTGAGGTGTTTTTTTTTTTCATAGATAATTCTCACCAAGGCCGTTTTGAACGCGTTATTGTTCGCACGGGTGGTCCTGCCTTTGCTCAAAACGCGTAGCCCTTACCAAAGGATAAAGCTGGATTGTATCAGACTGCCTATATACTGTACGCGCCTGGTAACTCCATTATTAAATGTGAACACTGTAGTGTCAAAATCCTGTAGTCTGCCATGCTAGAGAGCTGATTAGTATACTGTATTAATATTACAGTACACTTAGTTGTACTGTCATTGGCACAGTTAACCCAATTAACCTCATTAGAAGCAATAGTAAAAGACTAACCTGAGGTTACATGTGGAAATTATATGGAACTGCAATTAAAACAGAGAACAGGAGACACTTTTTAACACAAAGGGCTGTGTGTGTCTGGCTAGAACATGCTACCCAATAATGTTCAGGAAACAGCTGGATGAAAGCCTCAAATCAATTAGCTATCAGTAACCAAGATGGGCAGAATGGCCTCCTGTCATTTGTAACCTTTCAAATGAAGGTTGTTATATTAAAGACCCTTGTCTACCATTTGCTGACCATTAAAAAGGTTTTCCCCCAACATTAGATAAAACCTACGTCACTGTTCAATCACTCTACCGACATGTAATTGCTCTGAAAATATTTTAAAGGATGTTATATTGCAGACGAAATAGAACGTGATCATAGTAAAACCATTTTAACATTTTTTAATTTGGTCTGAGCAAAGAAACCAACAGTGGGAAGGTCTCGTGTGTCAGTCCTAAATGCGTCCTACCTAACCATAATGATTGCTCATCTAAATCTGGACAGTGTTGTCACCTTTCCAATAGTAATGTATAACCTTAAGTGAGAGAGACTGTATGATATGCATGATCAGATCCTTTTGCATTTTGCATTACTCTACTAGAAATCTATTTAAAAGTGTCTGATCTTCAATTGCATAAAGTGCAAACACTCTCAAGCTTTTACTTTTTCTTCCTGATCAGATGAAAAATGAACTGTTTTAGTGATATCAAAAATGTATGTAAGTTTTTAAAAAACTGTTTTATAAAAGGTGTTTAAAAAACTCAACTACAAAGAGATTGTATATCACTTTAGTGATACGATGTTGAGAATATGTCAGAAAAATGATAGATCACCATCACTGCATTTAGCATTTGTGAGCATTTAGGTAGGATTTTGCTGTTAGAATCACCTTTGATAGTAGAAGGAAGAAAATATAGCTGTTATAAAGCTTCTGCTAATGAACTGTTGCTCTGACTTCTTAGTTGGTAAATCTTGTCAGCCATCGTGTTTTTACATTGAGGGTGTACTGTCAAACGAATTTCCCCAAATAGGACAAGAAAGCTAGAATTTAACTGAATTTAAATAAAAGCGTGTTTTATAGTTCTTCAACAAAAAATAAGAATAATTTTAAATGGTAAAGATTATTCTACATAAACTGGAATAGTAATACACATTTAAATTGACCAAATAGATATATATATATAGTTAATTGACCAGACTTTAGAAAACATATGTTGAACCATAACCACAGAAAAGCCACATACTGTAAGTTAGGGGTTCAAGTAGCATTTCAACCTTATTTTTTAAATCGGTTGAAATCTGTTGGTCTCTCTTCTAGATCTTCAAATTCTGTGTTACAATATAAACTGAGGATCAAGGGGAACAGACAAACTATTTTGGCAGCATATGTAATGAGCAGCCGTGACAGAGTTAGATTGATTATGTGGATTATTGTTTGTCATCAACAGGGGGTCTACAGTGAAAGCCACAGGTTAGTGTCTTATGTGGCCACCATTGGAAGCAACACAAGCTGCACAACTAGAATTCATGCTCTGCACCAGGTTGCACACGTGTTGCTATTCCAGCTGTAAAGCCTGTTCAATGGTTTCTGTGCCTTGAATCCCACACACATCCCACAAATCATTGTCAGTCATTTTTGAGTGAAATTACTGGCTTTCTCAATACCTGATTGGTTTTATTCTTAAAATATACTACACCGTGACTGGAAAAAGGTAGGCTCCAGTGCTTTTATCAGCAATACGCAGGTAGAAGTCAAGTTCAATAGCACTACAATCCATCATCTTTTGAATTCTCTTCTGTGAAAAATGAGAGACTGGGAACGTGATGTATTATCCAGTTAACCACAAAGACCCCATTCACAAAAGTCATCCGTCTCGTACATGATCTAGTTTCGCTGTAAATACACGTGCCAGGTTCCGTTCATTTCTGGGTAATGTAGTTTTCTGTCCTGTAAGCGCCATTGTTCGGTACGAACATTGAACTGGAAAGAAAACTACATTTTCCAACGTCGCTCAAAATGACGTCAGACGTAGACGATAACTACAGTCACCTGAGCAGGAAGCAACGCAGAGGTTTTGGATGTTGTCAATGTTTACTAGTTGGGGTTTGGAAGTGTTCCTCCTTAAGAAACAGGTAACTGTAGTGATTATTACAAAGCGTTGCATTTGATTAGTTAGGTGTATTTCTACAGAGAAAAATATAACTATCTTGTTAGTTCTCAAGATATGTCAATATCTACACGGGGCAGGTATTACATTGAGCTAAGTGTCCAATTACAGCCTGAAATTGCTTGCCTGACGTTTTGTGAATGACACTCGTGCATAAAATTTAAAGCCAAAATGGACTACAAGCATTTGATTTATGAATTGTAATAATTTCGTTTTACATCTGAACCCTGTTTTGAGGTCACTCGTGCAATTTATTCGATTTTTTATGAAGACCTGAAAATGTCAAGTTGGGAACATAATAGACCGAAATAGCTTTTGGTGAGGACTTATTTCCCTTCTCGTTGATGCAGAACAGTGCGCTATTTCAGTGTGAGTGAAAACTATGCAAATCGTGTCTCCGGACAGATTTTTCGGGCCATCACTCGGTGAAGCAAAGACAAGTTAAAATCATAGCCTGGCATTAAAATCACACTCTCCTAATTTAAAATGACCACGTATAGCGCTTTGACTTGTGTGACACTGAGTTTTCCCACAAGCGAAGTGGGAAGCCGGCGTCTTGGAGGGATTGCGTGGACTGTCGTGTCCAGTGTTATGCGGGTTTATCATTTCATCGATGATCACGATCTTCAAGAGTATCTTTACTCTGATCTGCGGTACCGTCAGAGATTGACTGCATTTCCTTTGCGAAACTCGTGGTTCTCGCTGCGATGTGCAATGTCCAAGAAAGAGAATATCACTGTTGGAGTGCGAGATAACGGAAAATACTGTATATAACACTGTTAACATGCTAGAAGTATTGGTATTTTGGTTATTAAACTATTAACGTTTTACTTAAATTAATACTATCTTTAGAACACAAAATGACATTGTGTTGAACAGCGCAGTCTAGTGACCAGACTTAAAGATATTTTATTAATAGTCTTATTCAATTTACAGTAAAATATTAACGTCAATAGAAGCTCTTGGATCGTCTAACAAGTGTATGCCGGTCATTACTACATTACAACATTGGCGGCAATTTAAATAGGATTCCTGCCACTTTCCCAGCTATGAATCTGCCTGGGTGTCTGAATTTCGCCCTGCTTCGGTGCCTGTGTCAAGATCACAGTTATGTGTTTGATTGGTTAATTGTGACCAAAAATAAACTCGCTGAATTCCAGGCGGAAGGCTTCCAAGAACCAGTTCTGCTTAGATAGCGCTCATTACTAGTCTGTTGCCTTCCAGCTAACCGAGCGAAAACAGAGCTCTCTGGTGTCAGATGCTAAATAAAATATTCATGTTTAGTGGTCAATGCATTCTGGGCTCTGTTGGGCTTCTTAACTGCTTTATTGTTCCATTTAAAAAAAAAAACCCTATCTTCTTGGTTTGTATTATTCATTTCTGCATGAGATATGCATGTGTATTTTACGACGCATACAGTAGCATTTCAAATTAAAATGCACTGATTCATACATAATATAAATAATGCACATCATTTTGGTTTGCTTTTCTACAATAATGTTTGTTTTGTGTTGCAAATTTAAGGCATCACTAGGCACTATTTGCTTTTATGATATCTTTAGTACCAATTCTAACCTCAGTGCAGTTTGTACGTATCTGTAAATGAAATCAACGGCGTCCTTTTTCTTAGACTGATGAAAAGTTACATGAAGTGACTTTTCTTTTAAGTTTTTCTTGCAGCGGCATTTCAGCATTGTAAATGTAGGATATATATTGAGGTTTGGGGAGTACATGAGGTACGCACATGAATCGAGAATGCACTGGGAACGAGGAAATGATGTGTCATCTGAAGGGGCATAACCCCTAACTGGCAGACCTAAGCAGTGGTTTACTGCAGACATCTGTTTTAGGCCCTCTACTTTTCCTGATCTACAGTATATCAGCAATCTAGATTCTGCCATAGTTAGAAAACAATTTACTTTTTAGAGGAACACAAGGTATACTAAAAAAGTGGAAAGGGATGGAAATTATAGATTTGGCATTCGGTTGACTAATGAAATGTAATGTTGTGATACATAAGATGTATAATTATAATACAGTATGCATATAATTGAATTGCAGGAATCTATGCATTAAAATGATCTGGTTGTTTATGCAGATTCTGCTGTGTTCTACAAGACAATGTAGGCAAGCAATAATTAAATCTAATGCCCGTGTAGTGTACATAGCAAATGATTTGGAATTTAAATCAAGTTAGACTTCAATTTTACAATGCCCTAGTAAAGCCTCATTTAGAACACTGTATTTAGTTTTGGTTACCGTACAACAAAAATGATATTATAGCCTTTGAAAAAATGCAAAGAAGAGCACCAAGAATTATTCCTGGTCTTAGAAGGCAGGGGAGCTACATTTCAGTCAAGAAGAAATGCGATTGAAAAGAGTTCTGATCCAATTGTGTAAATGTTTAAGGAGAGCAGGTAGGATCAACACAGAGGGGTTAGTTCATGCTAAGTAGTTAGAAAGGGAATTTAATTTGGAAGGAAAATAAGAAAATGAGTTGTGTTAAATGAGTTTAACAGAATTCCCAGCCAGGTGGTTAAGAAATAGCTATTTCAAGAAATAGCTCAAGGAACTTTGAGATTAACATAGCTACTAAACAAGCAACATGGGCCTAATGGTCTCCTGTTGTTTGCAAGCTATCCGATGTACTTAAGGAAAGAGAGCCATGGTTTTTATTCCATTAAATTAGAAAATATTTTGAGACATTTTTGGGGTAACCTCCATTCTAATGCATCGACATGGATAACATCAGACATGAGTGCTTCCTTCAGTGATATGACTTAATGGATGAATTGGGGCCATGCCAGCGGTATTAATATAGCTGTAGTTTTTGAAAGCAGCAGTGGAGATAAAGGGATACCAGTAGAATAAAAGCTTGCCTGGCTCTTCACATAAGGTTGAGTAGAGCTTTGAAATATACACTGATGAAATGCTAGAAAAAATTACAGAGAGTGTTCATTCTTTGGATTGTGTTTTCGCTTCTGCCCAGGATAAGTGACTGTGATGCACAAAGTCATCTACATGCTCACCTTCATCTTTCACACACTGACTGCTGGCTGAGACTGAGACTGAGAGGAAGCCAGAAGAGAGTGCAGTACCTGTTTGTCTTACCACGGAATGTAAGCCAAATACATTTCAGGTTTCTGGCTGTATTTTACCTAGAACATAAAAAATTCTTTTAGTGGTCATTGGAACTTTATGGGCTCTTTCTATTGTTAAAAAAAAAGAATAAAGTAGGTTACAAAACCATGTAGTAGTTTTTTTTAATCAAGAATAACAAGTGTCTGCAAACATATTTTTAGTGTTTTTAGTTTACCCTTTCTAATAAAGGAGGTTATCTTATTGGGTGTTATTGGCATTTTGTGAACCTTACATGAAAATGTGATATAATATAATGAGGTCAAGTTGTTGTCGACATGCATAGGGTAAGGCATTTTGAATAATTCTGCAAAACATTTTGGTTCTTTGAAGAGAATTCATTAATTCCAGATACTGCTACTGAGCAAAGGATATTGTTGCCTAAAATGCAAAAGCAAATATGCTCGTAAAATAATTTTAACAAGTAACCAATTAAAAACACTTTATGGTCTGTTATATTATTTGTCAAAATCCTTTTACTGTATATAACCTGTCGTAGAACGTATTGCGATGCAATTGTAGGTTTGAACACTGTTTCTGCAGACACTACCTTGTCTAACTTTCTTAGTAAACTGTACCAATACACAACACAGTTCAACTAATTAATGCAGTGTTTGACTGAAAAAAGACCGCATGCTTCATTTTGTAGATATACAGCAGTTCATATTTGAAGTGTAAAACAAAAATTAAGGATGTTTTTAAAATTAGACATTCTTAGATCAGTTGTGCCAGTTGTTTCCTCAATCAGTAACAAATTGAGGAAACATTTTTTTTTTAGTTTTCTGTGGTCTGTAAGTTTTTTAATAATAATTTTTGTGCTGTATGTTATTTTCTCACATTTTTAAAATCCTGAATATACATTTCATTTATATTTAAAGGAGTCTGTTGGATGATGGTGGATGTACTCTGTGTATTACGTACCGAAATGCCAATATTCATTTTAAGCTTTTTTTGATTGGTTGATTTATTCATATCTTACAGATCCCTGCACAAATTGAAGTGTCAAGGCAGCTGTTTGTAAACTGGGCATTTATTCTAAACAGGTAAAGGCAGTAGGAAGACGCAGTATGCATCAGAGAGGAAACAATACTTCTGTAGCTTATCCTGTCCATTTCTTTGAATTATTTGTATTTCCCTGTTTAAGTAGAATGTGCGCTGCTAGTCAGAGTACATTACGACAATCTTTTAGTTCACCTGTGCTGTTATTCACCTATGCATTTATTTTTATACTTATTTATGTTATGTATAAATATAATAAATATACAAATATATATCTGTATACATCTGTTTATTTTCTGTATTATCGCCCATATAAGTTTTGCATGGTTTTAATTTGTGAAACCAAATAGTGCACTGTTCGCAGGTGTTAAAAGTGCATCATTTCTTTGTTACAGCTTCCAGATGGTTTGGGTGTTCATTATGAACAGGATGAGCTCTCAGAGCAGCTCGTCAGCTCAGAGGCGGCGTATGGTTCTGGGGATTTTTATCCTGCTTCTTGTAGATGTCATTTGGGTTGCTTCGTCAGAGCTCACCTCGGTATGGTCTGATTCCCTGTCCTCTCTACCGTTTTCATCGCATATTGAAATAACGCGTTTTAACTATTATTTACAGTGGTATTCAAAACACGATATTTGAACAACAGATCGTCCTACCTGATTTTAATAACTTGGTTGGGCTTACTCATCTGCAAAACTGTGATCAGTTTCTGATAGTCTTCAAGGTCGAAAAGGGTATCTTAAACTTTCAGTTCCTACAGTATGTATTGTTAATTACACAGATTTCATTGCCTGAGCTAATGTAACTGCTTATATGATTGCTTTTATAAATGCTGTATAAAAAAGCTTATCATATTTAAAAGGACAACATGTTATGTTGCTTTTATTTCTTTGAATGCATTTACAAACAGGTTTAGCCAGAGTGAAAACCAACTCTAGTTCTTCAACTAAGTCATTATATTCATCATTCTATTTTGCGTATTACATTAAAATATTCAAATGCTTGATAGTGGACAAAAGTATATACAGTACAGATGTCAGTGTAATGCATGCATGCTTAAAAGGGCAACGTTTTTATTTGCTGCATTGTGACATAGTGTGGTGAGCAGTGAAGTAAAAATACACGATGAGGTCAGTGATCAGAATAAACACAGTCAGTGAGGCTCCTTTCAACTTGTCATCTAGACAAAACCTGAGTGTCTGCAATTGACTGCTGCCCAGATTTTGCAGAATTGGTTTCCTTTCTGGTTTTGTATTCCCTGACTAGACTTTCATAACTGGGGAAAATCAAGCAAAGAAACTAGTACAATATGTCTGAATAAAAATTTCCTTCCTATAAGACAGAATGATCCGCTTATCAATCTTTGGTAGTTCACTCACTTTTCATCCTTCCAGTTAATAATTTATGTTCCCCATGGCTGCAAGAAGGTGATTTGTAATTCACGTTTGTTTTATAGGTCTTGCACATCTTGAAGGTGTTATTTATTCCACAGTGTATTTTTTTGTCTTTTAGTACATTGCTTGTGTGGGTTTTTTGACCACTTTGACACAGGCAGCGTTTTGTAGCATCAATAACATGCTTCTAAGAAATACAATGTATTTTGGCTTGGCTGTGTAAGTACACTCAGCATGCAGAAAGCAGCTAGACAGGCAGTAATCTCTGGCTTTCCTCTTTGTGTCAAAATCAAAATATGAATGTACTTTTACAACAGCATTGCTGAAATTCAAATATAGTTTTTACAGCTCTGGAAACAATAACAAACAGAGATGGCAGGATTGTCATTTTGATTTGTAGCACACTGAAAAAGATCTCTCTATTCATTATTTATGTGCAGCATGTTCTTTTCTAGTTTTCATTTCGTCATAAATTAATTGGTTGTGTGACCTGTACAGTACGTGACTAAATTGAATTTAGCCTGGACTGACAAACTGTAATTTTTATTAATTTTTTATGGTGCTTCAAAGCATCTGTGCAGAGACATTTTGAAACCTGATTAAAATTAAAATGTGCACCCACCTAGCAGTGAGGAAGTTTTACTTGATGAGGGGTTTCTGTTTGCCAGAGAATTTGTGTCTCTGCTGAGTGGTAAGATGCCATAACGTATTGGTTTTGGAATTAACAGTGAGAAGGTGGGTCTTGTTGATATACAAGGGCTTTAAAGAAATGTTTAGTGAGCAGTTACAAAAAGATAGATTTTTACCTTTTCAACATAGAGTGTGATTTCTAAAAATAAAAAAAATGCACATCTTCATATGCATTCTGTCAAATCCCACAATATGTTCTGGAATAATAATTGCAGTGCAGTTTGGAATTAAAGTACTTGCATTAGGAATGGTGTGCTGTTTGTTGAAAATGGTGTTTTTATCTTTTCTTTAGTACATATTCAAAGACAAAGAATATAACAAACCCTTCTTCAGCACATTTGCAAAAACGTCCATGTTTGTTCTTTACCTGCTTGGATTTCTTGTGTGGAAGCCCTGGAGGCAGCAGTGTACAAGGGGCTTTCGGGGACGGCACGCAGCGTTCGTGAGTTATTTTTTAATACACATACTGTATCCACCCCATATTCTGTATGCACAGTATGTTTGTTGCAAATTTGGAAATATCATCGTGTGATTAATGCGCAGGTAAAAAAGAATCTAGGTTTAGGTCCTGGTGAGCCCTTTCAATATATATTGATTTATAAATATTTAGAAACCCTTGTATAGAAAAAAACATATTTTAATACAATCCCAGTGTTATTATAACTGAACTGTAGTATCATATAGAATTTAAAGTCTTTGTTTTTGCTGCTTATCTTTCAGTTTGCTGATGCGGAAGGGTACTTCACAGCATGCACTACAGACAACGGTATAAACAACTCCTTAGTAAGTATGCTATTAAAATTGTACGCTGTTTGAATTAAAAATTGCAGTCGAAGATGGTTTTATTGACTGTAGGTGTTTTTGTTTGGTGTACAAGTTAATTCAGGAGCAAATACTGTATGTTTCTCAGTGCTCAGGATCATATAAGTCAGCTCTAATGATCTAAACCCAAGATTCTCTGGTCACATGCCTCTAACTCTTGTGGTATGTGAACTAATTTGCAGGATTTTTTATTAAACTTTTTAGTGATTTTAATGTCAATACAGTCTTTTACTGAGTTTTATGTGTCTGTTTTTGTAGAAAAAATAATCTAGCTTACTGGTAGATATTTAACAAGAGAAACTATTTTTTTTTTAATCCAATCATAATAACCACAGCATCATGACAGCGTTTTAAGTGGTATTATCTGACAGGCCAAGACAGGTTAAAATTGTGTCGCCAGACTGAAACAGCCAGCTGTAAATGACATGTTCAGAAATGTTTAGTGTTAATTTTTACTTGCATGCAGTTAGAATTGCAAATATACATTTGCATATGACTTCTAACTTCACCCCAAATTCATTTGCTTTTTGCCAGTACTTGTTTGATTCTATCGAATCTTCCTGTCCAAGGAGGCTGATATTTTATAAATAGGCAACCCATCTATATTATTAAACTTTAATGCCATTGCACAGTTTGAACCTTGGTTTAATGAGATACAAAATAAGAAATAAGCTACACATGCTGTAAATATTGTAATTAAGGTGTTTGTGGTAAAGTAATTATTATCAGCTCAATTTATAGCGTGTTTTAATTTCAGCTAAAGACAACAGATGTATTGTCTTTTTCATGTACAGTGCTATGTAGGTCCACAGTTTTGACCCTATATATTGCCCTGCAAAGTATCAAGACAGTGAAGTATTAAGTTAATTTTTTAATATGAGTTCGAATAATTGTTTCTCAGTAGAATAAACTGGTAACTTAACTCCCACATATTTTATTTTTAATAGTCAACTCCCTTCTACATTCTTGGATCAGTTCAAGTTACAGTGCAGTGTTCTGCAATATTCTGAAGAGCAAACTAAGTGGGGCCAATTGGCTGATAGATGTCTATTGCTGGTCAGGTGTTTGCTGTTCTGTATTACTTCAGGTACTGTTTTCTGAGCAGCAGGGCACTGTGTTGATTTTTACTGCCTCTTTGCTAACTTTAATGTTTGCTGATCTCCCCCAGAAATATTTTGGACTTCTGTTTGATTTCAGTGTTATCATTTAGGAAATGTTAAGATTTTAAGTATATTAACCAAAAATAGTAACTATAGAAGTGGTTTTATAAGGCTGTTTAAAGACATAAGCTGAGCTGACTGTTATTTAAAGAAGGAAGAGTTTGTCCTTTTCAGCACTGATTGGTCTCTGGTTCTTTGATCTGTGCAGTGCCAATGAAACCTTTTTATAAATCTGTCATGTCATATTAAAAATGATGTCCTCACCTGCTGAAACAAGGGGACACTAATCTCCTGAATTGAAGTAGTCTGTAATATTACTCTTTTACTCCTTTTTTCAATTAACCTATGACAATTATATAAACCTGAGTATTTTCCTTAAAGATTCATTAGCACATCAATCTACCTTTAGGTATTTGTCACTGAAAAATAAAATCAGAAGTATAATTATTGAGGATGTTTGATTCTGTCACTGTACGTAATTTTAATAAATTTGGATTCACAAGTAAAGCAGAATTAGGAATAATTTCACGTGAATTATGCCAATAAATGGTTTGAAGAATTAGTCAACTTTGCAAGTGTTATCTATAAAAAATAATAACATATTTGAAGGCCCATATCCATTTTGTGTATTGTATACTTCTAAATGTACAAAACTATCTTAAGTCATTTTATGAGCCAGGTCCAAAGAGCTGAAGAATTTATTTCTTTTCTTTCAGAGCGAACCACTTTATGTTCCTGTAAAGTTTCAAGATTTGCCCACAGAAAAAGCTAATGATGTTAATGGTGACTGTGAGGCACGTAAGTGTTGATTTATTGCCCTGCTCTTCTGGGGAGATTTGGAAGACAGGAAATTTACTAATTCTGATTTAATAACAACAACAACAACAACAACAACAACAACACACTATGCAATAAATCAATTCAACAAAAGAGACTGGTAAATAAAACAGTAAATTAAATATTATTTGAAGCTAGAGTACACAAATGAGTTTTAAGACTTGATTTGAAAGTGCTGACAATTTTGTAGATCTGATTTAAGCTGGTAGGTCATTCCATGGTCTTCATCCATGTAAGAAAGTATGGTCTTTCGAGGTTTGTAGCCATCTACTGAGAACTGATAGAAGACAGTGTCCAAAGGGCACAGATAAAGTGTAGTCATATGGTTGTATATAATTGTATGTAAGGAGTTAGAGTTAACCGAGCTGTATTTCATCCTGAAATCTGTGTTGAGTCAATGTAGGGAAGCATATACGGGTGATAACTGCTTGTAAATGAAAGTTTTGGTCAAAATCTGAGCAACTAAGTTCTGAAAACAGTGCATCTTAAAGATGTCTGAATACACCAGCAAGCTCTGCATTACAGTAATGAAGTTGAAGCATTGTGGAGTGTTGTGTTTAATTATTGAATGCTCTGCAGCGGATCCAACATTTGTTACGTAATTTCCATCATTTCAGAATAATATATTCTGTAGTTCTACAGCAGGTGGAGTTGTTGAGCTCTGCTAGAATTGAAAAGGGTTCTGTTGATGTGTGGTGTTCATGCCACAGAACTTTCAGCAGCTTAATATTTTTTCCCTCTTTTTATAAGCAGTGACATCTATAAGAAAAGAACTGTAGACCTGAGAAACTATAGGAGAGCTTCAGTTCTTTCACACATTGGATTTTAAGATTTCCATAAACTCACTAAAGTTACTCAGACCCCAAATACTCCTTGGGTTTCTCAGGTCTGCAGTTCTTTTCTTATAGAGATTACTGTTCATAAACCATACTGTATGCAGTGAAAAAGGGGAAAAAATATGGAAAATTGATCTTCTTCACTGTTTTAATTTATTTATTGTTATCATTTGCTTGTGAATTCACCAAAATAATCTGCCAATTTTGAGATAGTTACAGTATACTTGTTTTAAATTAAGTGACGGGATTACTTTCCAATAAAACATTAGTTGAATCTTTAAAAAATTAAATCAATATACTGTGTATTTTTGTTTTATTTGGTTTTGTGCCTGATTGACACTTCTAAGAGTTTTCATTTAAAAAAACAACAAAGCAATCAAATCAATTAAATATTCCAAATGCCACTTTTTTATATGTACTATTTCATATCATACTGTACATAAATAGTATTTGTATGTTAAACTGAGATGAATTCCAAAATTGATTCCCTGATTTTTCTGGCACATGGAAAGCATGTTCACCCATTCTCCAAAATCCTTGTGTAGAACATTTTGATCAGGTTGTACAATATTGTACTTTTTCAATTCCAGCATCCAAAAAGCCCCGTGTGCGATTTAGCAACATCATGGAGGTACGACAGCTGCCTTCTACACATGCCTTAGAAGCCAAACTTTCTCGGATGTCTTATCCAGCAGCAAAAGATCATGAATCAATTCTGAAAACTGTGGGAAAATTAACAGTGACACAAGTGGCAAAAATCAGCTTTTTCTTTTGTTTTGTGGTAAGCGTTTTTAACATATACTGATACCATTTACTGTATATTAAAGAACTTGCAACCTACCTTACTAATTAATTAGATTTCATATAGGAGTTGATGCACAAAAATACCGTGAAATCATGAAGGGATACTGTTGATAACATGAAATTTATGTACAAACGTTTTTCAAATTGGTAACTGTTAGTGAAAATTCAGCTAATAAAAATGGATTTAACTGTATGGCATTTTTTGGAAGCAGTTAAACTTGACTTCTGTTTACTATACTGATTACCTATCAGTCTTTTGATTTGAAAAATGAACTATATTAGAACCAGATGCTAAAGTTGACTGCCCCTCTGTTTTCAGCAATTCCACTGCCTGTTTTCAGCATGGCTATTAGTGTTCAGCTGATGATATTGCATTTTTCTCTTGATTTCTCTGCTAAATGGAAAGGAAAATAAGCTACAGATGAGAACACGTGATTATTTTTCAAGATCCGAAGTGGTTGTGTGATATTAGATGCGTGATTTAGAAATACTACATCAAAGACATTCCAAAGAATTGTCAAATACTTCCAGGAAAATCACAAATGGAAGCAGAAGGAAATCTGTCATCTCCCAAGATATTCTCGATGCCCTTTTTTGTCTTCTGCACTGATTTTTTGGCTCCAACATTTAAAATTATTCTGAATAAAATATTGATTCCTGAAATATACAAACTGACACCACAATATAATTGCTTAAATTAATTGTCAATTTTCCAGTGTATATGCTCAAATGTGTTGCCAGCTGTCATTTAACAAGAGAAAATGCTTTTGTATTACTAGCCTCAGAATCATGTAGTCTACTTACTTTGTAAACAGTATGGTTTGTTTCAGGTTTGATTTTAATAAATTGAATAGGTCTTTATGAGCCCCATTGTGCTAGTTAGTGGCATTTAAAAATGTTTTTGAGGAAATCCAATCAAAAGTTTCATCCTGCTGAAATATTTTAAATGTCATATATCTTGCGCTGGTGTGGATGTGAAATTAAGAGGTGTCTAGTTGCTGATGTCTTTTTTTAGTTGTTTTTTTTTTCTAGGTTAAAGCAGTTATAAACAGTAAATACCTTAGGGTTCATTAAAAATAAATATTAGTCTCATGGTTCACTTCCTGTGTGAAAATGAAGTGCGCCCTTTTTGTGTTTAGAGAATGTTTTAAAATACTATACCTGCAGGAGGTCTAGTCTAGACATGTGTCGCTTAAGGATTTTTGTTTTTGTAGTGCTGTGCAAGAGATAATTTTACAATGTTCTCATTCTTTTTAGTGGTTTCTAGCTAACTTCTCTTATCAAGAAGCACTATCTGATACACAAGTAGCCATTGTGAACATTTTATCTTCAACTTCTGGTGAGTCTACCGATTAAAGCCGTCTATGATGTGGTAATTATTTCTGTTGTTCTTAAATCTTAATCATTATTAAAATGATTGTAATCTTTGTTATATTAGAAAAGTCATTTTTGACTTGAAAAGAGTCAGTCTTCCTCATAACAACACTAATTGTTATAGGTGCCAAGTATGAAAAGAAAATTAATAGAATATGTTATTGTCTAATAACGTCAGCAAGCCTGCTGTCTGACAGCACCATACAAAGAAAGTATCCATAAAGAAGCAAGTTACATATAATTTAGAATAAATGTTGTTTCATCAAGGTTACATTTTGGCATGCTGCATCAATATATATTATGAAGAGCAAAGCATTTTTTCTCTCTTTTTTTCCTCTAGTTAGCATGTAATGTGTGGATCCTTGAGTGGCACTTTTTGCAACTGTTTTTGAAGACTTTTTGAAGATCTTCGCAGTGGGTTGCATTTTCATGGATTAAAGCAGTGCTTTTAGAAAGTAAATGTGCTCTTAAAATGGAACAACTAAATGGAAGAACTAGATTTACTAATGTGTGAAAATTAAATGCACACTCTTGAAGTGTTTGTGCCGTGTGCTTATGATGTAATTATGATCTTTCTCTGTTTTGCCCTCAGGTCTGTTCACCCTGATTCTAGCAGCCGTGTTTCCTAGCAACAGCAGTGACAGGTTTACGTTGTCCAAGCTTTTAGCAGTGATTCTTAGGTGAGTAAATAGACTGAGACCGAAGTTCTGTTTTCAAATTATAAAGTCGCTTTGCTCTGACAGAATTGGCAGCTATATGGACGGCTAAACTGAAGAATGTTATCCATTAAGAAGCTTGTGTCCTTGTGGAAAATTGTAGTTTTTAAGCTGTATTGTCAGAATTACGTTCCTCTTTTATACTCCGACATTATTGATGGTTATAGAACGTTAGTGTGCTTCATAATGCCATGGAAAAAACTGATGGAAATAAATCTGTTTATGCCTATAGTGCATCAATATAACTCTTACTGAAGGGGGAACTTGATCGTGATGTGTACTTTAAATTGCAGCTCCCCCCCTCCACTTTGGTTAGGGAATTGATGTTTTAATACGGTAGAAGAAATCGAGCTCAGCCAAAATCTCACCGCCTGTGGCCACCTGCTTCTGAGAAGGACCTGAAAGTCACACAAAGTTGCTCAGGTTTTTCCCAGCGTGCAAGTGGCTAGTACTGCAGCTCAGGGTACACGGGTATGACTGCGTCCTGAGAAAAAGTCTCTTCTGGCCCAGTTCCAGTCAGCCATCTAGCAGAAAAATAAAGTGCAAATTGGTGATTTGAATGCAGAGTGTGCAAAAGCAGTGAATTATACCATTTGCTTTACTGTGCTTTCAGTTACAGCAATGATGTTTTTCAAAATATGAAAATGATATTTAACCTGGGTTGTAGCTAAAGTATCTGGTAATAGACCTCTCGGTCAAGAAGTAAACAGAAGCATAGGGGCAAAGGACAAAGGCTGAGGAGGATTGAGCTCTTTAAGTCTTAAAATCGGGCAAATCACCTGCATTTACATTGTTTCAGCTGTATTACTCATGTAGACAGACCTCCCTTGATGACAAGATAAACATCTACAGTAGCTGTTGCCCAGGCTGTGTGAATGAATTGAAAGCCTTATTCTGTTTTCAGTGAGCGCTCTATGTTCATCAATTACTGTAATGTTACTGAGTGTTTTAACGCTTTGTACTATTCACAGTGCATATAGAGTTGTATTTAACTTTTTCTTACTTGTTTTCAGCATGGGGGGAGTTGCTCTTGTGAGTTTGTCAGGATCTGATAGCTCAGATGGGAAAGACACAATAGGTAATTTTTTTACAAATTACAACAGAATTTGCCCGAATATGCTGCTCTGTTTAAGTTGCATTTTCATAAGATTTTTATCACCATCTGTTATTGTATCTGTAAGTGATAGGATTGCTAAATGTCTAATCACATATTCTTAAAATATCACCCTGTTGTGAAATGTAATTTTCCATTAGGAGAAAAAGTACAGTATGTGTATAATATGTATATATTACCAAATGTGTTGTCATAAGTTGATTTTTAAAAAGGTTTTAATTCCCTCAGAAAAAAATAAATACCATTACAAATATCCCTATCCCTGTCCTTATCTAGAATATGTTAATTATGGCCTTTAGAGTCAGTTAGCTGAAGTTTAATTGAATTGTAAGTTAAGAACTTTCTGAGGTCTCAAAGGGCACGAATGTTACAGTCTTGGTCACTGCTGCACTTTATTATGGATAACTCAGTAGTTGATCTGAACTCAGGTTTAATGTAAAAGTGAGTAATTCAGAAATCCTTGTTGTGTAGACGGATGAGATAATTGATTTTCCTTCACTAAGGAGCAATGAGACGGAGCCTTAATGTACTGCAGGTCTTTCAAATCAGACCACATGGAGAGCTACTGATAAAGAAGATTCATTGGCAGACAAGAGTTCTGGGTCATTCTGTGTGTCACCACACAAGCTCCACATGGGATTGGAAATCCCTGGACTTCTCTAACAACAGTGAAGTTTTAAAAGACATGCTGAATGTAGTCAATGGAGTATTCATTTACTGTAGCATTTATTTTCATGATGTTGCCTTTGCTCTTATTTTTCCTTTTTCTTCTGTTTCAAAGGTTCTCTTTGGTCACTGGTGGGCGCTGTACTGTATGCTGTCTACATTGTCATGATTAAAAGAAAGGTGGATCGGGAGGACAAGCTTGATATACCAATGTTCTTTGGTATGTTAAATGGTGCTTTAATTGCCAGTCTCTAAGGGAAGGTCTTATGATTAGGCCAATGTAATATTTATTCGTATTTATTGATTTAGTTGACACCATTTTCAAATTCAACTTGCAAGGGTTGCATTTACTTTGAAATACAATCAGTATATTACAGAATGCATTATGAATATGTCAAATTGTGGGAATATGCAACAGCCATATTTTTTAAACTAAAACCCAACAACGTACAGATGAGCCCATTGTTTATAACCTTTTATATGGAAATTCTCATAATTGCAGTTTTCATTTCAGAAGTCATAATAATGATAAAGTGCAATTAATGCCGTATTTAATATTTTTAGTCAGCTGTTACTTTTACAGTGCCTTACAAAAGTGTTTACACCTTTGTACATTTTTCACATTTTGTTGCTTTAAAACTTGCAGTCATAACACTTTGTTCTAATTTGTTAGAAACGCAACCTATTATACACATTCAAAGCAGAAAAAAGACATGAGTAGATACAGTAATTAATGTGAGAGAAAGTCATGATTGCATAACTCTTTAAAACCTTTGTTTTTCAGCAAATGTAATTAATTTAGATGCACAATACTTCCGTAAGTAGCCACACAATTAGTTGAGTGGCCTCTGTCTGTGTGCAATAATAGTCTTTCATATGATTTCAGAATAAGTCCCTCTGTATCTGTAATGTGCCTCAGGCAGGCAGTGAATTTCAAGTAAAGATTCAACCATGAAGACCATGAAGATTTCAAAACAACTTAAGAGATAATGCTGTTGAAAGGCACAGATCAGGAGAAGCCTGTAATATCATTGCAGAGACCCTTAATATCTCTTTGTGCATGTTGAAGTCAGTTACTGAGCAGTGGAAGGCTCCCACCTGCTGCCCAGGTTGTCCCTCCGAACAGAGCAGCTGGACTAGGAGGGAACTGGTTAGGGAGGCGGCCATGAGTCCAACAGTTTTGAGTGACGTTGAGTGCCAGTGTTCAGTGGCTACGATGGACAAAAATGTCCATGGGTGAATAGTATCCTAGTCCCTCCACAAAAGGGGCTTGTATGTATGAGAACTTTAAGTACAACATGGGGTTTGCAACAGAGCACCTAATTCATACTGCAAATGTGTGGCAAAGGTTTTGTGGTCAGACAAAATGGAAATTTTTCAATTCTAAATTAAAAGCGTTCCTTTTGATGCAGACCCAACATAGTGCATCACTCAGTCAGCATCCCTGCTGTCAAGCACGATGGTAGCAGAATTATATTATACTTGTCAAGGGAATATACAGTAAGAACATAGATCTGCCGGTAAAGCTTAGAGGAAAACCTCCTTTAGACCTAATGTTCCAAAGCTATACTAGAGTAGCTTAAGAATAAGAAAATGAATGTTCTTGAGATGCCCAGTCCTGACTTGAATTGTATTGAGAATCTGTGGAAAGAAGTAGAAACAGCTGTCCATTAGTTATCCCCAAGCAACCCGGGAGAGTTTGAGCAAGTCTGCAAAGAAGAATAGGCAGATGAGTTGCACTGCAAAACGTTAAGGACATGTACTCAAAAACACTGAAGGCTGTAATTGATGGAAAGGCTGCTTCTTTTTGCTTGAATATTGAGTTCACAAGTCAGAATACTTGAATCTGAATGTAATCAACATATTTCATTTTTCAGATTTTAAATAAAATATTAAGTTTATGAACTATTAGTTTGGAATTTCATAAAATGGGACACCTGAATACTTTCTTAAAGTATTCTTAGCAGTATTTCCTAGCAAAAGGTTCTGAGCATTGAATAATAATTCTCTTTTGAGGATAAAACGTTTTACTGAATGTGCAATTTCTTTCATTATACAGTATTTACATTACCCACCTCAACATCAGACATGAAGAAATGTTTGTGATGAAATAATCATTTCACTTTAACTTACGGCTTAAAGTGATGCAGCTTTTCAAACCCACGCGTGCAATTAACAACCTGTGCAATCCTGGCCAGGTGGCTTTATGCAACATTAAGTTATTAATATTAAGTATCTTTATATTATGCAATATGAACTTAGCGTAATATTATCCAGTGATTCTTCTTTTGTTAGTCATTAGTAGTACACCTTGTGAATCTCAGAAGATGCGTGCCAAGTTAGAAATGAAGAAATGTTTGTGTTGGAAAAAATTGTCTAATTGAGGGCTTAAGGTGATGCAGCTTTTCAAACCCACACATGCAATTAACATGTGCAATCCTGGCCATGTCAACTGGCCCATTCTTGTTCTGCAACCGAGCATCACAAGTTAGCATCCCTTGTCATCTTTCATAAAGGTGGCTTTATGGTCATGTATAATGTTTTCAGTAGTTCTACGAAGGAGGCCGTGCTCTCCACGGCCTTAATTTGAGGATCGGGTGTTACCAGTGTTTTCCACACCTCTGATTGTTTGCTGGAATGGCTACGCATGGGGTCATCCAGACAGACGTTTATCTTTGATTGTCTGCCATGTTCAAGATCCTTTGCTGCTTGCAGTGCTGTGGAAAACGAGGGGCAGCTTCTTTTACACTCTAGCATGCATCTATGGTTTTGATATATAGTGCATTCTCCTTTATGCAAAAATGTGGTGACCACATGTTGCTTAAGCTTGGAAAGGTTTATCATTCAGTTTCCCTGAGAAGAACTGAACGGCCATAACATTAGACATGAATTCTAAATGTATAAATATAAAGCTTTCAATTCTATAGCTTAATGTTAAAAAAAATAATCAGTTGTTTACCTTTCCTAAAATGAACAGTAATACTTTCCCTAGCATGTCTGTATAGCTTTTTATTTTGACTGTACTATGATCTGCTTTCAACCTTGATGGTTATGTTGAAGACTTTCACTAAGAACTTGTCCACAAGCACCTGCTTCAAGGGAAAGATTAGTTTATATTACACCTGAACAGAATGCTGCATGAGTTAATCTTCCCATTTGAGGCAGGTTCTCTCAGTAATTGCTGCAGGAAAAAATGTAATAAGCTGCCTTGTAGGACCATCAAGAGTTTTAATTGCATGTGAATTTGTGGCGTGTCGAAAGTCACCACAACGTTAAAGCACTTGACAGCAATTGACGTCAATGAACTGCCAAGTGTATTTCTTTCTAAACATTTTCCCTTTGAAGCCTTGTTTTTCAAATGTTATAACCTGAGAAAGTCAGTGTATTAATATCCCAATATATGTCTTTTTCAGTGGAACGATTAATTCCACACAGCCTTTGTTTTCACTTGAACAAAAGAAGAATATGTACCATTTTCCACAACCAGAAGAACCTAAATGATGTGAAACCGCTACCAAGGAGAAATGTCATCACTGGATTTTGAATTGTGTGATTTGGCCCACTGTTGTGATTCAGTATTGTCATGAGATATTCCTCTTGACAAATATGGCAGATTTAAAAACATATTCTCCATTTCACTTGTGGCAATTCACGCATTGAATGGACTGTAAGCAAAGCATTAAAGTATGACCTGTCGCTAGTTTCTTGATTAGAGTAAAGTGTTGACCCAGTCTGTTCAATGGAACACTGTGCAGTCTTTCAGAAGGCACTTTGAGCTGAGAGTCAGAACAAGAGTCTCTCTCCCCTGTGTACAAGGATGTGAAGATTCTTCAGTGATGAGTGTAATCAAGCTGGAATCTCCCAACAAGCCACTGGAAACCTCTACAGAAGACCCACCATCAGCATACTTTTGGGATGCTACTGTACCTACAGTATGTACAGTACATGTCATCAAGGAAAAGCCACATTCAGAACATTACCCTGTAATGTTTGCAGCATATGTTGAAAGTTTCAAGGTCACCAATCTCTGAAACTACTTTCAGGTGGCAACCCCAACAACCAGGGCACACCAAGACGAAAACGCAGATGCATTGTAATCGCGAACTGTAAAAAGGACAGATGAGTGCTGTGTTAAAAGCCTTGCTGTGTTAGTGTTAAATAGTAAAGTGCTTCCATTGCGTGAAATAAAAAGGGGAAAAATAATTTTCCCACCTGTGTTCAAGTCTTTAAGGCTTTAACAAATGTGGTGATCTGGGTATAAATAAGTTAAGCCACACTGCAAAACCTTTTTCTTATGGCATAAGAATGGTTACAAAACAACAGGAGGTCATTTGGCCTATGTAGATTGTTGGTTGCTGGTAGTTAATCGTTGAGAGGATTACATTCAGTCCTTTCTTGTAAGAAGCCCAGATATTGGTTTAGACGGTATTGCTGAATAGCTTATTCCAGACTCCTACAACCCTGCTGAATGAAAGTCTCCTGCTTGTCATTTCAGTTGCAGTTTCCCTTAGTGGCAGGAGAGTAGTGGCAACATAGTGGGTGATTTGGGGTGTTTTAGGTAAACCCTCGTCTAGTAGATTTTCCGATTATTGGTGATTTGGAAGTGTGTTTTTATGTCTTGGCTCTCAACTACGAAACCCACAGCCACACACACACAGAAGAATGAGGAAGTATAAGTAGACTCCTCTGATCTGCTCACCTTCAATGCAGTTGTCTTTCAACATGTTACAGACAAGGCCACAGGGGCTGCTGTTTACTGAGGGCCGAGTGAGTCCTGGCCAACTAACTCCCCTCCTCACACCACTTGTTTGGGGAATCCTGGTCACAGTCCGCTAGTGACCTGACCCAGGCTAATAGCATAAATAAGGAAAACAACAAACTAGAACCCTGTCCCATCATCCAAATTAATCACAACTATGATATGTTAATTAAGTATGGTTACAAATGTTACATAAATCCCATTCATTTTGCTCAGTTGGGATGTAGTTAAAATGTAGTGACTGCTGATTGCATGTTAAAGAGAGAAAATGCACCCCACAATGAAGTAAACAGTAAAATTAGACGTAAATATCACTAAGTCACAGTTGTGTCTAGTATTTTGATAAAGTCAAAATGTATGTATGTTTCACTTGAAGTACATTTAAATCAAATCTAAGGAAATTGCCACTGTCCTTGACTATTGGAACCTCATGAAATAAGGCATGTGTAACCATTTGGGCTGCTTTTTTTTCAGCCTTGCTCATGAACCTCTCGAGACAGGAAGGCCTGACCGAAAGACAGCGCTCAGTGGTCATGGCATTTATCAGGATTCTTGCTGTAAAGTTTAGCTCCATGTCCTGTGTGCCAAATCCACATGTTCCCCTTGTTCAGATTAAAATTCAGCAGCACTCCTTGAATCTGCTTTTTAACTTGCTGTCGTCTTGGAAACAGGCTTTGTGGAAGCCGCTACTGTGAAGCAGATATGGTATACAGTACAGTATTCTGCCCCTCCTAATTCAGGAGGCACACACAGAGCTCTTCAAGGGCATACTAGCCTTTAGGCCATAACATAAGTTTTCACACTGCACTGGGATTTTATCCATCTGGAGCACCTGTGTTTCTTCCAGTTCTTTTGTACAACTCTCAGACTTAAGGCCATTAGGAATATTAAAGTTATGAATATTAAGGATTTTGTCTTGTATATGAATAGCAATGGGAAGCACTGACCTTTGAATTGACTGCTGAGTTTTTTTTTCCCCAATCCTGTGAGGCCCATATGGGAAAGCATTTTTAACAGAAATGAACCGTGCTATTTAAAGCTGATACTTTTCTTTGGATGAAGCCTTTTGGTCTTTTGTGATGAATGTGCGTACTTTCTAATTTAGAATTCATAATTAAACTATTGAATCACAGGCTTGACTTATAACTTTCACCCCAATATGGCCATGTTGATTTTGTATATACAGTAGGTGGTCCCTGTTATAAAACTCTACACGATGCCGATGAATTGAGGAACTCAACGTATAAATTCCCCACGCTTGCGGCATTTTTCGCTGGTTCATGGGTTATTTTGTTGCTGTAAAGAAAAAAAATATTGTGAAGAGTAAAATCTAATGTTAACATTAACAAAAATATGGGCTATAGGTACATTAAATGTATATACCCATGTCTGAACTGTATGTTAGGAACACGTCAAGCTACTTAATTCCCCTAATTAAGTCATTTTAATTTGCATTGTTTAGAAACGTAACCTGGACTTGAACCCTCAGTATTTATGTTGTTCTTATAGGGATAAAATTCCCCCTTTATACGAAGGTTGTTTTGTTGGCTTGGTCTCAAACCTGTACCTCAGTGTCCCTACCCTTGTGGAAGTTCCACTTGCTTGCTCTGATCTACCCAGTAGTGAAGCTTATAGATGCTCCAAAACTCACTTTGACCTTTTGGAAAATATCCATTATTTAGGATGCATTGATTTTTTTTTTCAAATGCAATAAACAAGATTTGTTTGTAGCCATAGTGTTATTTCTTCGTTATTTAAATGGGAATAAAACACCTTTCAATATTAAATTCAGCCCGCAGCATGAAGAAATGTAATAGCCTAGGTATGCAATAAACTGTATGAACAAATGAATATCACTTAAAAAAATCTCATACTGTTTTACTGAATAATTCAAATACAGAACAGAAGCAGGGGAAGGAAAGGGGCATTTTTCTAACCAAGATCTTTGGTATTAAATGGTTATATACAGTATATTTAAATTCTGAATTAAATGCTATTCTAATGCTTTTGAACTTCTACTGTTTTGAGACAACTGTCTGGTATGCTTTGTCAATGGTTAACTCTCTGTTTGTTGTGTTTCTTTCCCAACTTAGGGTTTGTTGGCCTGTTTAACCTCTTGCTGATATGGCCTGGCTTTTTCTTACTTCATTACACTGGCTTTGAAGTTTTTGAATTGCCAAGCAAGCTTGTGTGGATGTACATCATCATAAATGGTCTTATTGGAACAGTCCTTTCAGAGTTCCTGTGGCTTTGGTAAGCTTTTGTTGACTAAAGAAGTACACATATTGATTAAATTTCATTTTGTCTCAAAGTGGTATTTTTAGAAGATTTTAAAAGTTAGAGGCATGTAGTGATATACAGTACTATATCTTTAAGAGGCAGTTTTTACATCTGTAAAGTTTGTTATAATGTTTCCAATTTAATTTTCTATATTGATTGACCATAGTGTATTCTGTAGTTTTGCTGTTCCCAGCTTTGGTCATTGGTCTGAAGTACAGCAGACTTTTAGTGCTTCATTCAGTTATAAACACCTCCATACCAGGTTTAAAAGGTTAATCCAGTTAAGGTCTAACAGGACCAATGTATTATTTCTCCAAAGCTTGAACTGTTGGCGATATAAAGAGACATAGAAAATCTGCAGTTTTCTGAACCCCTGATCTAAATAGTATATTATAACATAAACAATTTTCAGCTTGCCTACAAATGGGTTTGTCATCTTTGTTTATGTTACGGTCTCAGAAAACTCTGATTTCTTCAGTTGTTGTTCAGACTTATAATTTTGTTTATCCCTGTTCAGTTCACAGAGAATATTTATGTCTAAAACTTGTATTAGTCATGTACTATTTTGTTTAGCTATTACAAATTTTATACTGTTGATATGGAGGGAGATTATCTGCTAACTCAGAGGAGCAAATTTCCATTATCAGAAAAAACAGACCTTTTCTTGTTATCGTTTGTAAAGTAACGACACTGTATGCTGAATCGTGTAATGGAAATACATGTTTTTATGGAAACATCACACTATATACTGTAGGTCATTCACAGTTCGGTTTGCAACGCTGCTTTCATCCAGTTTGTACTCACTTAATAGAAATGTCTAAAAAAGTACAACTTGTGTACTGTATTACTTAAGAATATAAAATCTTTTTTTAAAATTTCTCATGACTGATTTTTTTGTAAATGGCAAACTGATATTTTTTAATATTGCCTTTTAACTAAGGTTAAGGTCATTAATCTGATTTCCCATTATGTAAAAAAAAAAGGACAATGTCAAAAACATGATGAAAAGATACGCTAGGTGCTCCCATAGTGTCAGCTTCATTACCAGTTCTTAAAGACCAATTAAAGTTGAAGCAAATGGCTTATCTCTGGATTGGCAATGTGGAGCTCATTGTTCAGTGACTAAAACGAGTGTTCTGGGTCTCAGTGATTTATCTGCATGCCTGGGAGTGGAGTTTTTCTAATGATAAAAATCCTACTGAAAGTTTGTGAAAGTGAGCACTTGGAGTACAAAAAAGAAAAGATGATTCTTTAACTCTCTGGTGTCAAAAATACTTGAAATTGCTCTGTCAGTCTGTTCATATCTGCATTCTTTTTCAGGGGTTGCTTTCTTACCTCATCGCTGATAGGTACACTTGCATTGAGCCTTACAATTCCTTTGTCCATTATTGCGGATATGTGCATGCAGAAGGTAGGATGTTCCTGTGTTTTTTCTTTAAATCATGTTATTTAGTTAGGAAAGTTAAAGTTGCAGTTAAAGGAAGCAGAAAGAGATCTTTAAGTACATCCTCAGAATTGTATTCAGTGAATTCATGTATGTTACATATCCTTTTCATTATACAGAATGCAAATAGTGTGATGGAACTGTCAAAATGGTAAAATAATGTGAATATTGCTTTACTGTACAACCTGTAGCTTCTTTGTGTTTTAATTAATGTTGAATAAGAGCTAAATAGCTACGTAATGCACATTTTTCCCATAATCTCAACTAATAAATGCTAAACGGTATCTACTTTAGATTGAGTGCAACTAGATTTCAGAAGTAATTGGATGATTTATCCAAAAATAATTAAATGAAACCTCAGTTTCATTAAGCCGTCATGCCCCATGGATTTGTAGTGGTAGCCATGGATTTGTCAGGGTATTGGAGAAGACTGCAGCAGTTACTGTACCTCTTTGTCTTTCCAGGTGCAGTTCTCTTGGCTGTTCTTCGCAGGGGCCATTCCTGTATTTCTTTCCTTCTTTATCGCCACTCTCTTATGTCACTACAATAACTGGGACCCAGTCATGGTGGGGGTGAGAAGGGTTTTCGCTTTCATCTGCCGGAAACACCGGATTCAGAGGTAAGAGGCAAGATGAAGCACGGGTGACTGTGGGAGGCAGGGATTTGCATGCTCCTGGTTCACACAACAATATTCTTCATATAGTGTTATTCACGTTGCTGTGTGTGTGACTGGCGCAAGAGCAGTTTTGGTCAGTGTGAGAATGAAACATGTGCTGTAAATGAGGCTGTGAGTGGAAATGACTGTACTGTATGTAGAACACTGGCTTGCTGTCCTGTCTTGCTATTTGTTTTACTTGAAGACTTAGAGTTTAGGTCTTCTGTTCCCAGTGAGAGGAATGTCCAAGCTTCTTCTTCATACATGAATAACCAATTAAATAATGAGCAAATGCTCTTCTGAGATAAAGTAAAAAATAACATATGTCCTGAGCAAATACATATTAAACTGAGAAAGTATTGCTACTATATGCATTTTAATGTAGTTTCTTTATTTAACATACCTTTTGGCTTTTTTGTGTTTTTTGTTTTAATATTACTGCATTGGTTGACAGTTTTTTTTTTTCCCATCCATATCCATTATTTTATAATGACTGCAGTGAGGCCATGAATGTATGGTAATGGATCCTTAAAATAGTATTAGAGAAAAGTAATTAGGCTTTGCAAACTTAATAAACCTATCTGACAACCTTGCTGAGAGTTTAAGGTCTGGGTACAGGTCCTTAATTATTTCTCACTGAGGTCCCTGAACATCAATTGTTCATGGGATGTAGGAAAAGTGACATATACAGCAAAATACCTTTTCGTTAGGTCTTTCTTATTTATAAGTTAATCAGAATTTTTACAGCGAATCAATGTGTGGGATGTTTAGTTTGTATTTAATATTTGATTATGCAAAGGCCAGGACTGCTGTTTACTTTCACAAAGACTTCTGTGGTTAAGGTTTATTGTTCGTGTATGACAGTTAACTCTGTGGCTCTGCTGGTGGGGAGATATTTCTTAAACCATAAAGCTGTTCTGTATGCATTATATTCTGATGGAAAGTAGAATCTATATTCAGAGGCATTAAACATGCAATACATGTTTTGGTTCCTGTATTCATTAATATTATATATGTAAATCATCTATAGTTCCAGGGCCAGAAGTTATAATTAATTTGGTACCTCTAAAATATTTTCTTTGTAAGCAAATGGCTTCTTTTCAAAAGCGGTGGCATACCTCTCTGGGAAAAAAACAGTTGATAAGTGATGACATTGAAAGAAGTAAAAATGTTTCTTTTCTGTTTTGATGACCTTTCTAGGAGCTTAGAAGGAGCAAGAGTTGGTTTTGGACTCTGTAGTTGTTTTCGTAGGTTTAAGAGGTGTCGTATATTACACAGAACTCCAGGAGACAGCGAGCAGTGCGAGAGCCTCATTCCTATGCATGGTGTGGTTCAGGATGATGGAACCAGCTGCTGTTCATAAGCAAGAGGTAGAAGTATTATATTCTGATAATTGACATTTCAGATTCATTATGTTTTGGTACTTCTGTTTGTTTTTGCTTATACATTTAGGTTGCCTTTGGCATCGTGGCAGGTGCCATAACTTCAAGATAAGGCTGTGGTAATATCTGTGGTTCACAGGTAGAAATTACAAGATCACTAAAAGTAAGGTGTATGGATTAGGACTATACATTTACACTGATCTGTTTTATTTACACTGTTTTCAGTTTTTCTTTGAAAGGGTGTGTTATAATGTGTCTTTCATATGTTTCTGATTTGTTTTTATTAGCAACGAATGTGTCTTGTGGTCTGCTTTTCAAGTTCTGAAGCTGAAGTTGAACAAATGAGAACACTTGGGTTAACATTTCAGCTTCAAGCGTGTCTGTTTTACAGAAATTCCAATGACTTGTTATCCATGTTAAAGCTGTGTATCAGCTCACCGCATGAATTTAAAAAGTTTTACTTGGAAAAGATTGTAATATTATGTTGATATTTCTGGTTCCTGTTTAATCAATTAATTGCATATGCAATTGAAGATAAATGGACACTTCATTTTAACTGCTGACCATCTGTTGTCAGTTTACATTACATTTGCAGTGTTTATTCACTGTGGTATCATTGGAAAAGAGAGAATCTGCCTTTTATTCAACATTAAATATTTGGGGAAAAAAACTAAAGTGGAAGCTATCTTTAGAAATACAGTTGACTACAAATGCAATATCTAGATTTGTAGTCTGTGAACTTTTTGGTTGTAAAAGATTTATTTTGTCAGAATTTGCACTTGTCAGTGTTAAGGATGTGGTGCACTGAAAAAGTGCAACCATTTTGCTAAACCATTTGTTGCTAAGTGTTCCTATGCGCAGTTTATATATTCACTACCAACATTTTTTTGTGATTTAATTAATTGTACTGTATGTCCGCCCCCTTTTCTGAATTGCAAAGTGTTTCCAGGTCGGCTCATGTTTCTGACCCCTCTATTGCCTGGGGAGAATGAGGACCTGCAGAGACGCTCTCCCTGACATGCCCTTCTGTTAGAGACATGCTTCCTTTGGCACACAGTAAGCTCTGTCATGCCATTTAGGGGTGGAAGTCCACATCAGGCTGAGAAAGTCACTGCAGGCTTGCGGGGACCCTGCCTGTCCCTGGAGCCCCTGCTTCACCATGAGACAGGGCGCCCCTGGCACTCAGACGTCTGTGCATTGGTGTAATCCTTGGATAATCCTCATTCCCACCAGCTTGTAACACGAGCTGATGTGCATGCTCATATGTTGATTATCTGGAAACTTAAACATTTTGTGAAGGACAGCACTAAATTAAATGGACTGACAACAGTGTGGAGTAGTGGTTAGGGTTCTGGACTTGTAAGTGGAATGTTTTTGGATCACATCCCAGGTGGGCACGTCATTGTTGTACCTTTGTGCAAGGGAATTCACCCGACTTTTTCCAGCAAAATACACGGCTATATCAATACCTTGCAAATGTAGGTCACGTTGGTTACATGCATCAACCAAGTAACAATTAGTAAAGGAATAAGAGTTGGAGAAATCCCAACAGGTAATTTTACTACTTAATTCTTTTTTCCTCAGATTGGAAAGGAATAACATGTGGCGATGTGACAATCCTGGAGAAGCCTGAAGGAGACTTGACGTTCCAGTGCCTCTTTTTATATGCTATAGATGACATTCAGATAATTGATCCCTTCAAGCTGATATGCTGTTCATCCACACCTTTAAACTGGATATCAGATTTCTTTTTGATTAATGGTACATGGGCTTGAAAACATGGAAGAATATACACTTTTGGACCAGTGAACCTGTTGTACTGAATGTGGAGATGAGAGGATGGAGGGACCTCTTGAAACACAACACATGTAAAGAACACTAAAGCCTGTTAAAATGGTTGGCTTTTTTCATTTTCAGTAGATGCTGTATAATGAATGGCATGCTGCAAAGTAAGCCACATGTAAATATGTGATTTGGTACTACTTCCAAATGTCAAGCTACAATCTAAACACTATTTAATTATAGTTTATGAATGTAGTAAAGGGTACCATGTCAAAACATGTACATAAGAATTCTAATATGAACAAAGAAAGTATTATATTTTATTGTGAAACTACAAAAATAAAGTGAAATGAAGAATAGAAGATCCTGAGATTTTCAAGGTCATCCCTTGAGAATGTGCTGGTGTTATAGCTGTACATCACTACATGTCACTTTGTGTAGGTAAACAAAATTGGAACTACCTTTATTTTTCATTAAAAATGAAAGTAGAGTGGTCTTATATATTTTGAAAGATAAAAATCTGATGTTTCATGTAAGCTGTGAATCCCACTTGTTGTCATCATCTTTTTCACCTTAAAGGTTAGGTGGAGTTGTAGTTAATTTACAGTTTTAAGTGATTTTAGTGCATTTGAAATATCTTCTACCTCGGTATAGTTTCTGTCTCACTCCAGACATAAAATAGAAATTAACTTGTTTTGACTGTAACACATCATGGTCATAATGCATTCAGCATTCCCAACAGTTGCCTGGAGTTTGCAATTTCTGGGAGGTAGTAAGATTATTTTGTGATGGATAATCTTATGTCTTTTTCTGTATTGAGGAGAGTATTGTAAAACATTCACTTTCTAGCTGTTTAGTTTCTTACCGTTTGAATGTTCGAAAGCACTGTATTCTGTGTGATACAGTGTTTTCTATTTCTTCATGGGCAGTCTTCTTTCATGCTAACAGAGAAGATTTTTCAAAGACTTATTTCCCAGAACAGTAACGGGAAAGCTAATTTACTTTGTGCAGAAGCTCCTGAGAGAGATTTTAGTAACTAATTTGGAACGAGAATGATTACATACTTCCATCTTTCTTTTGCCTTTGAGAGGACTGTTGTTTTCTGTATGACGTTTAATGTTTATTTTAATCAGTCTTGTATAATCCTTTCCGTGTGTGTTCTTGATCTGACAACATTGAAATGAGTTATTTTGCTTTTTGAAGCGTTACTTACCATGGCAAATAGATTATGAAACAGACAAGATGTACAGTAAGAGATGCATCTAATGATTTAGCAAGAAAGTGCACATCTCCCCTAAGTAGCATTTTAATGTCTGTCTTGCATTTGATGTTTAAAAGTGACTTTTAAGATGAAACACTAAGATTTCCTCAATATATTGTTAAGTTTTTGAAGGTCTTTTTGTTGTTTTAAGTGGAGTCTAAATGCTGTACTCTGTATTCGGTTTGATGTCAGTGTTATTAAGTTGACATTACATGTCTGAAATACCATTACACACAAAACCTAGGCTGTTCAGGCCTCTATTTTTGCCACAACATTTATTTTAGCAGTTTTCACTTTTACAAGACGAAATGCAAATAAAAAACTATACTTACGAAGTAATTTCACTGAGAGCACATGTACAGCACAACCCACTCAGTACTAGGCCTGTGCAGCTGAGCCTGAGGGAGAGGGAAAGCACAGCAAATCTGCTCAAAAACAAGCAAAAGACTTGCTAACAGAGCAGGAGTTAGTCTTACAGCAGACTCCCAAAGACATTTGGAGCTAGCACACAAAAGACATCTGGAGCAGCCAAGAACAACATCCCTTCTATCATGAAAAGACAGTAAAAGAAGAATTATTCTTATTATGAGTTCTGTCTTTTCTTTGATATGCAACAAAATGCTACTGTTCACAAAAAAATTCAGAGGTTTAAAAATACATTTATTGTGCATGTGCGATTGGTCTTGAACCGCTATGTAATACAAGCAGAAAGCAGGGCCTAAAATTACAAACTTGAATTGCAACTTTGTTGTTGGTAAACCCTTTGAAAGACTAATCAATAGGGTAATATTTGAAGCAGGTTAAAAAAAAGCTAAAATAAATGTCCTTAGTCTACAAAATGTATAACTGCTTAAGTTTTAGACCACTAAAATGGGGTTTTACAGTAATTGTATTTTATTGGTTATAAAAGTTTATTAAATGCAATAGAACATACTGTAATTTGCAACTTCCTTTTGAAGTTCTGATAGTTTTGTGTGATAGATATACTGTATATTTTCCATAAAAGATTTTAAGATATACAGTATGAACAATATATACATTTTATATGCATACAGTATATATAGATAGTATAGCCTATTGAGATCCTATTTTGTTAGCATGTCACTACATTTCTATTGCTAAAGTTGAATTAAAAGGGAAGTTTTTACCTTGGTTTTAATGCTTGAAAATGTATAAATGGTCACAAACATATGTCGCTCCAGCCAGGGCAATCAAAATGTCTGTGTGCATAGTGTAATGTATGTCTGTTTATACAGTAGATAAATATTCATTATGTCAAACATATCATTGCCCACAACACGAAATGTTTGTAACATTTGTTTTCTTGCTCTTTTGAACTAAGTACAAAACATTTTTTGAGAAACAAAGTTTTTTCTCAGTCTATAATGGTGCTTTTAAGATGTGTATATAAAATACAAAGAATGAGTTAGAGGAGTCTCAGGTACTGTGGCATGAACTGAAAGAGAAATCTTCCTTTTTTCTAAAGGTCAGACCTTTTCTATTATTTTTAAGGACCCTTTTACTTTTTTTTTTCTAATGGCAGTTGTAAAACTGATTTCCTTCTTTTTTATGAGCACTTTTTTACAGCTAAAGCTTTGTAATGGTTTCTGTTTCTTTTATGAAGGTTTTTTTACTTGCCTTTATATGCCCACTATGTATGATACTAAAGCTAACTCATTTTCTTACCCAACCAATACTGTCAACTCTACGATCTAAATCTTTGCACTTATTTTTGGTGTTTGCTTGTTATCCTTGGAGGGTATTTTGGGCAACTTGATTTGTCATGTTATTCCTTACTGTGTACTGTACTGATCCTGATCTGTTTCCCACCTCCTCTGTTCACAAAACCTTAAATGTTCTAGAATGGCACTAGAGAACTTCGTGAAGTTTGTCATTCCAAAGTTTTAGCAAAGAAAAAAACACTGTTTTCCTTTTTAGAATGCTACCATTGAATTGAATATATAAATTGATCAACAAAATTACATCCAGGATGTAGACCAGACCCAAAATTTTATGGAGTGATCACAAGTGATTAATTCTAGCCATCCTATAGTATCCTATAGTTGTACAAAGAATAAGCACCCACTGGAGAAATGGTGTATTTCTCACGTAGAAGAATGTATGATTACAACCACCCAGTCAGTCCCAGGTGCTGCTGTTGTGATCAAATTGAGAATTACTGGACCCCACGCCCACCCAAACCCTGACTGCCTTTGACCTCTGGTTCCTGCACAAGTGACATCATCTGAAGGGGTGGGGCTCAGCAGTCTATTTGAATTTAAGCCTAATTCTCATTGCTGATTCAAATTGCATCATTAAAGTGCTTGGGACTTTCTAGATCCTTAGTTAAATTTGTTCTTTTACTTGTGCAGTTTATTTTACTGTACATTTTAATAAGGTGAATTAAAAGTGCAATACAAAATAAACTTGAAGGACGGTACAGGGCATTTGTAGTGAATTGTACACAATAATACATATTGTCATCGTCTAAATAACATTATCTTTACTAAAAAAAATATTATTTTTCAAAGGATCTTATTAAAAAATATAGTCCTTGTAAAAATAGCATTATTGCATTCTTGTATGCTAAATACACTAAAACTCTTTCCCTTGGGCTTTTGTTTTTTGTAGCCATATAAAGTGTACTTTGTTACAATGTACAGTACACTGGCTGCAGTGATGTGATAACTGTGATTTTGTATTTGGCTCGTAGATGAAAAAAAACAATCCAACAGGTGCCTATTTTTTTTAATTTTATGATGTTAGTACTATCATGAAAAGAGATGATGTGTCCTAAATTAATATTTTTCTTTGATGAGACACAGGCTAGGGAACACTACACTCCAAATATCTTCCATTCCAAAGTCTGAACGAATGAAGCCACAGTAAAAATTCAACTAATGTCCATTTTAGCTCAGGCCCTGGCTGTCCCTCAGATTAATGTTTTTATATCTTAAGTGTTTAAGTAGTTCTTGATTTTTACTATGTAATATATCAGTTTGTATTGTAAATGTTCCAATTGATTGTTGATGTAATATAAACATTTTGTGTGAAAAGATTTTCAGATTGTGAATATACTGTGTTATTTATTCTAAAGGGTTAGTAAAGAGAAAAGGCCTATATACTGATTTTTGACTTCTCAATGACAGCTAAAAGACCATAAACAGTAACAGAGCTGTAAGAGCACATTGATAAGGTTAATAGTTTCCAAGTACTTGTGTGTTTGTGTTAGAGATATATCATGGCTTTCTTTGCCAAAAATGTCATACGTACTATTCCAAAAACAACTGTAAGAATATCAAGCTTCAAAACTTTTACTCAGAAGCCAAGTAAAATGTGCAAAGCCGTTTTGGTAGGTAATGGTATTTTATTTGGACTGGCTACAATCTTGATAATATCCATCATGGATTTGTTAAAATAAAATACCTGGTAATTACAAAGTGTTTCTTAAACACAAATGGATACCTTGGTAGACGTAGTGTAATAATGAGGCACACAGTTTGTGCTGCAGTCCAGCAAAATTGCAGTGCTTATAATAATTCATTATTACACAACATTAATATTTTGCTCTACAAAGTTCTAGGTCTTCTCAATGTTATCATTTATACAGGGTATAAAGATAGGTTCAAGAGATAAATCTGTTTGTGATTGTAACAGTGACAAAGTCCAGAAGTTCAACATTTGGATTACTATTTATTATATACAGTATATATACACATTGCCAATGACATGTTGGCGAGGTTAATTGGAGTCTCCACATGGTGTGAGAGAGTACTGTCCCTCCTTGTGCTCTTGGCTTCGGGGACCCTTACAGGAATAAGTGGTTTTATGACGATGGAGTGTTTCTAATGTTCAGTACTTTTAGTAGGAGAGAGAGAAATTCCAAAATAATTTTTGGGTTAAAATTCCAAGTGAGACTCTGCTGTTGTACCCTTGAGAAAGGTACTTCACCCAAATTGCTCCAGTAAAATAGCCGGCTGTATAAATGGGTGCACATCTACTGTAAATTGCTTTGGATAAAAACATCAGCCAATTAATTACTCATTCATTTCAGCATATTTTTGCAAAATATAATCATTTCATGTTTTAAAGGTGGTCATTGACTCCTGTTGTCCTCCTGCTCTCCTTGGAATAAGTAGAAGTAGAAGTCTGTTCTTTGCTCCTGGATACACATAAGGGTGACTGAATAGCAACATAAAGATGAAAGTGTCAATTCAATGATGAGTGGACTAAGAACAAGAAAGTTATAAAAACAGTAATCAGAAAGTGGAGAAAAATAACTCAATCCTCAGTGGCTGGGACACAAGTGGTTAAACTGAAATGCCTTAATGCGTATAGCTGCAGATATGAATATATCAAGAAAGCGCAATACTGTACATTTGGAAGAAAGTTATTCACTAAAGTACGAAGCGCAATAAATATAAAAATGTTGTTTGTCTGAACTTTTTAAAGATGTCTTTAAATTAACACCCATTTATTCCGATGACTCCTTGTTAAGATGTACAGGACTAATGAACTAACTCTTTTCAAGGTTTGTTGTCTCCTTACAATACTACAGTATTAGTGGATCTCTTGGTTAGGTTTGAACTATGATTGAGTATTATAATTAATAACATTATGAAGTAGTCAACCTTTACATAACGTGAATCAATCATTACAATTTTATTCCTGTTTTTCTGTCATTTGGCTAGTATTGTGAGACTTAAATAAAAATAACAATGATTAAATATGTAACTGAAAAGTGTGAACAGGTACTGTATATGACAGGAAGTGTTTGTGAGTGAGGCACAAAATCCTCATGCATTGGGGTTTTCTTTTTTATCTTTCTCCCTATACACTGTACACGTGACCCTTAGAATATAAACATACTGCAGCTTTCTCCTTTCGGCATTAATTATGTATAATCAGTGTAATTAACAAATGTAATACAGGATAATTAAAAAAAAGATGCATAAAGAACCAAAATGAAGAGTCTTCAGCAATTATGCTACATAAACAGTGAATTTATTGAGCCTGCACTAAATCTCTATTGAGAGCTGGCACTTGCGCGACACTGATTTGTAATGCAAATTGCAATCAACTCACATCATTTCTCCATTTATTTGTAGCTGATTGGAAGACCTTAAAGAAACACAAACCTCAAGCTTGTGTACCACAGAACCCTATATTTCAGCCTTTGATAGTTGTTAACAGATGTTATCCTGAAAGAAATTATGTGAATACTATATTGTAAAAAAAGGTTAAACAAAGCAAGACTTTACAGCAAAATAAATATTTTACTGAGATCCACTCTTCTTTTATTTGAATTGCCTTGTTTTTCCTGTTTAATAAAATTCCCATTTGACCTTTTGGAGTATTTCCTTACTGCTCTTTGAACATCTGGATTACTTAGAACTGGTATTCAGTAAGTCAGGAATTGCAAAACAAGTCTGCACCTCATCAGGCTCTTGTCAGCAGATTACTTCTCATCTTTGTAAGCATTTCTGTGAAATTCTATGGTGATATAATTTAACCCTTATGCTTTGCATTTTAACATATCCTTATGATTCAGGTTTATGGTACAAAATACAGTATAATGTATTTCTTCATTTTATTTAGATACACAATTTCTATGTGTTTTTAAGCCCAGGACAGTTACTGTATGTAGTAGATTAATTAAAATTCAGTATTTTTGATCACTTCGATGGGAATAGAGACACATGACATTTTCATCTTTTTTTAAGAAGCAAGCGAATCTCTTCTTGACATTTGAGTTTCTGTTGTGGGTTGGATACCAATACCAATATTGTTGGTCTAAGTTAATAAACCTAAGAAAGATCAAATAAATTTTCTGCATGTGGAATAATGCAAAGGAGTAGTTTTGTTTCTCTATAAAAACTGTTGAGCATGACTATGGTTAAAATTAAGTCTGAGAACATTGTTGCGCTCAGCAAATGAACTTTGTTCATTTTTTCATGCCCTTTCATTTATAGAATTGAGGTTAAAAAATGCTTAGCTTAGTCAATAAGTAAAACAGTGAAGTATAGTTATTTTTATATTTTAAGTTGATATTAAGAAAATATGATACAATAAAACTTGGATTTCTCACAAATTAGTTTAGCATTCAAGCAGCTTTTTTACACAGACTTACAAAAAAAACCCATATGGAGAGTACAAATAAACATTACATTAAAAACCACTAGAACATTACGCAAAAGACACATAACATAGTCATTACACATCACTCCTTCAGGAATCTCCCCAGCTACACCAGAACTGATAAGTTTACTCCCCTTACAATCTCACTAATCCTCTATAATTGTACAATTCCTCTTAATTTTGCACAAAATCCACTGAGTGCACCTGCCCAAAACCAGTACTCATTTATCAACTGAGTAGTTTGATTGAATGTGGGATAAAGGAATTCCTCATGCTGGTAATCTGCATTGAGGTACTCTAAACCATCTTTTTGAAGGCAACAGGTGATGCAGAACATGCAAGGGATCACAGGAGATACGAACAGCTAGTCTCAACTTCCGCTTAATGTAAGCAGTCTGAAACTCTGCTCAAGTGGCTGCTCCACTAATTTTGAACACTCAAGAGTCTCAAGAGACCCTCGGAGTCTGGACATTTTGGTTTACTCTTGCATAGTAAGACTGTTATACCAGACGATTATTCCATACTGCATGACACTTCCTGCCACAGAACTGAAAAACATGAACAGAATCTGACTACTGGCACCAAAAAGCCCTTAACCTGCGAAGAAAGTAAATTTGCTGTTGTACTTAATTACAAATAAAGCCAACAAGTGCCTCCCAAGACAAATTAGAATCTATGGATATTACCAGATATTTGTTAGGATTTAACTTGGACTCATTATGAATTATGACCAGAGGAAGCATATTCATTATGATCAAGATCAAGGACAATTTCTTCAGTTTCTGTAGTATTTGAAATAAAGGCATTCTGGACACACCATGCAACCAAACTGTCCACATTGTTCTAATACAGGCTGGGGTCATTGTCATTCATCAGAGAACTTAAGGTAGGTCATCAGGAAATTTGAGTAGGAAGTGCTTTGGCCCACTAGCAACACAATCCTTTGTAGAGAGTGAAGAACAGTGGTAAATGCACACATTCCTGGGGTGCTTCATGATTTGCTTGGAGTAAAGTCCATCATTAACTTTAATCTCCTGCAATCATCTTGTAAGGAACGAATTGTACAAAAATATCAGATATGGGTTGATATGTAACTGATTCATTTTTAATATTAAAATATGCAGTCAGATTGTCACAAACTGAAGAAAAGACAAGGTAAAGTACCCTAGGATGTTCTTCATTTGTCAATACACTTTGAAGAATGTGATATCTCTTCTGTGCTTCACTCTTGTATACAAGCAGACTGATATGGATCAAGTTGACTATTTACTGACTGAGAGAGTTCATGAAACAAGATCCTCTCCAATGATTTCATCAAAACTGCTGCAAGAGCAAGTGGCCTTTAAATATAATGTTCTGATGGACAGCTTTTCCATACTACAGGAATAGTATGCATGTGTCTACACATCTAGGAAATTGGTTGCAGCTCTGGTCCCAATTCTAGAACTGAAGTTCTAAATCCAGACCTTCAAAATAAATGCATTTAAATTATCAGGACCAATTGCCTTATGAACATTTGTAAACTGAGAAGAATTCATGTCGTGGTCTAAATAATAACCCTCTTTGAACTGTAAAACGAAATTGAGTTAAGAAGACGAAAACATTTATCAGTCTGCTTTAACATACATGGTAAAAAAAAACGCGTTTTTTTCATTTGAAAACTCATTACCATTCGTAATTAAGGACATTCCCGGTGTCGTATCCAATTCAATTTCCTCTGGAAATCTTAACCGCCCTCTGCGCAGAAATGCGCAGGCGCCGTTGACGTTGTTTTCGGGGACGCATGATTTTTCTCATCATCCACATATTAAATGCTCTTTATGTAGCATAAAGAAAATAAAAAAAGAGGCACATCTCCATCTGTGCTGTATAAAGATAACTTAAACTTTCATTCACAGGGTGGCGGTAATTTTTGTTTTTATATTACTCTGATCTCCAGCAAACTGCGTAAAATACAGCGAGAAACCGATATCAACTAACACAAACAACGGTCTCTTTTTTTTTCTCCATTCATATCGCAACTTAAGAAGCGAAGGTAGAAACCTGAATGCAGTCTCCAGATCAGTAGTTTTCCTGGAAAGTTTTGAAAATGTTAGCGCTGCGCTTCCCTGTTTACAGGGGATATTGAACTGGATACGATGGTGCCGTAGATCGACGTTTTAACCGAGTTTCTCGACTATGCGGTACGAAATAAGCTGTCGGGTCTCCCCGTCACCATCGTTCAGATGGGCACTCGGGTATACTGTATCGTTGCATGTGCAAGAACAGCCCAAACAAACACAGCAAGGTTTGTACACAAGAATACCCATACAAGCCCAATTTTAAAGGCTTCATTTTTTCCTCAATATTCTCCATGCTTATACTGCACAGTGATCTTAGACGCGGTTCACCACCTGGAAGTCAAATAGTAGCTTCCCTATGTTTTCAGATCACCTCGTTAAACATTCATTTACATTTCAATTTTAATAACCCAACTAGAAGATTTTTAAGCCTTAAAGATGAGTTATACAATTCTTTTTACACCTTTAGACTCCACCTTCTTATGAAAAGGCGTATTAAGTCACTGTTAAATGTGTACAAACTGCATTCTTCAGAGACTAGCTCAAACCTGGTTCTTGATAACAAGAGTAAACATGCTCCGGCCTTTTATGGCACGTCGCTTAAAGTTTAACTGCCCACCCACCTCAGCACACGTGAATCACAGCTACCTTCCTGTTCGTCATAAATTGGCGTGGTAAAAGCAATGACTTCCTGACCTGGTTTATACTGGAGTGGTTTCCTTGGGTTGGAACTGGAGTATAAGGAATTAATCACAAAGTACAGTTAAAAAAAAAAAACAAAACACCACAGTCTATGCGGAATACAGCCAAGTGTGGGAAACTGACTATAAATTTTAACCATTAGGAACCTCGGCTGTATTTCTGACTTGATCTACGACTGCCTCAAAGATTACTACTGAGTTTACCCCCAAGAAGATGTCACAGATTACAAACAGCTGTGCTGATTTTCTTAACCATCATGTCGTCACCGAGTTCGAGCCGAATTTGGGAACCAAGGTCTCTCTAACCGTCATCTTCGGTGTTATTTTGCTGGTTGGGATCATTGGGAATAGCATCACTATCAAAGTCACACAGGTGCTCCAAACGAATGGGTACTTGCAGAAGAATGTTACTGACCACATGGTAAGCTTGGCGTGCTCGGATTTGTTAGTACTTTTGCTGGGTATGCCTGTTGAGCTCTATAGTGCAATATGGTATCCATTCACATCTGCTTCAGGTAACGCAAGCTGTAAAATCTATAACTTTCTTTTCGAAGCATGCAGCTTTGCCACGATACTGAACGTGGCGACCCTGAGTTTTGAGAGATACATTGCAATCTGCCACCCTTTTAAATACAAGTCATTATCGGGATCCAGGACAGTCAAGCTGATCGTTTTCGTTTGGGCCACGTCTGTATGTGTTGCCCTTCCCCTGCTGTTTGCAACGGGGACCGAAGACCCCCTGGAGCAACTTGAAGGGCGAGACCACCCTTGCAAAATGCAGAAATCCAATCGGACCATCTGCACCAACCTCGCCTCCAGGTGGACATTGTACCGGGCAAGCATCTACAGTGCGTTCGTTGTCTACATCGTGGTGTTGGTGAGTGTCGCTTTGATGTGTAGGGAAATGATGAAGATCTTGATGGGCAGAAACAAAAGTGGGACTTTGGCTGTCAGGAATGGGGAGAATGAAATCGGAGGACTGCCAAAACACGAGAGCTCGAAATCAAAGGCGTCCCGGAAGCAAACCATCATATTTCTAGGTAAGTTTGTCTTAATCAAGAGATCCTCCGTTAGTGATTGGAAATGGTTAAATTTATTGATGTGTAATTTATAATACAGTTTGTTCTCTAGCTGCACCTGAGTTGTATGAAACATTCTTTTAATTCTTAGTGTGTAAATACACTGATGTACCTGTATAAAGGAGCAACATACAGTATGCCTCAATGGGGCATTGAAGTTTAAGTAAATTCTTTTGTAAGTTCATCAGATTTTTGCTTTCTTTAATATGTACTGTATAAGATGGTAAGGCAACGTTTGAAATATTTAGCATAAAATTACAAGATTCAAGCTGTAATTTCCTACAAGTGGCCTTAGACGAGTGTTCTTCAATGCAGTCATAAGCCTCAATGTTCAGACCAGCTTTATTACTAGATTTGCGTAGCAGTGTTTAAAAACGTTCAGAGCTATTTCTCAAATCAGTTAGCAGAAAATCTGAGAAGGGCAAACTTAATTACTGTAATTCAGCACTTGTTGGTTTTACTTTTTTCAGCATGGAGTGAACTTCGAATAGGTACTGTACTGTAGTAGGTTACAAAACGATTTGTAAGAAGTTTCTGTATTGTGTAATGCTATTGTGTAAACCTACTGGGGAAAAAAATCAAAAAGGTTTCTCGCTGGTAATGTTAATATACCATCACATTATCTTAGGTTTATTTTTATGCTCAGTATTGTTAAACGCTTCTGCTTAATCTACAGTAGGTATCTGTTTTAGAGACAAAGTGTTATATATATATTAGATATTATCTTAACGTTTTTGGCACTATTTTATACTTTTTTGTGACTGACCGTGATAAAACTCCTTACTTTTGAATTTTGCATTAGTACTAATCGCCTCATTAGTTGATAGAGAGAGTAAATCAAACAAAGGCGATTTCACCTGTTGAATTTCAAGCCTGATGGTGGGAGAGACAAATACGGAGCAGGAGGTTCAAGTATGGAGGTCTGGGAAAGAGCGCCTGCTTAGCTCTCCACTTGCAGCGATCGATGCCAACCTGACTGCATCACGCACATTTAATTAAGACCTGGGACCTCACTTGTTATCCAGATGAGTTCGTACTTAACATGCCCGTTGTTATTATACCAGTATTAAATACGGCCACTTACATTTTGCTCATAAAAGTTGAGGTGCGATATTTTATTTCCCGACTGTGTGCGACACCACATGTTTTCTTTATAACCACAAAGTTTCGTTTACAATTAATATAATGTCTTGCATACTGTATAGGGATATAGAGCGTTACTGTACATTGACATGAACTGTCAAAAGCATTTTGGGTAATGTGTTGTTAGCCTTCATTAAACTTACGACAAGAGCATGACTTGAAATAGATTAAAGAACCTGTATGTACTGTATAACAGCGAGACACTGTCGTTGGTCTTAATTGATTTTTGTTTTCATTTTAATTAATTCACACTTTATCACTTTTTTTTCACTGCTTGTGTTTTTGTTGCTTTTATGGAAATGTGCAGATAAAGTTGCATGTCACCATATATTATTATTAGAAAGGAATAGAATAAACAACTTATAAATATTTTAAAGTGTGCCTGAGTAAAATCAGTAAGATTAAAACGATTGGATTATTCTTGGGGGCAGTCTCTTAGAGGAATAATTATACCAGCTCTGTACGTGTTCTGTGTACAGAGCGTACACAGAAATATACTTAATAATAATCTGTGTAAAATTTGTTTTGTTTATCTTTACATTTACTGAGGTGTAATTTTTAAATCAGAATGCTGTTTCCTTTTTTTTGGTAATTTCCCCTTTTGTATCTGACATTAGGGCGTTCTTAGGTTTATACTAAAGGAAATAAAAATCTGACTTTCTGTGGTTTTAATGTGCTATTTGGAAACATTACCCATTCATGATTTTTTATTTTTTTGAGTGACATTCATTTTTTTGCATCCATTCATGATTTATTTGTAAACCAGGAAGTTTTTAAAGAGCTGTAATTGCTTTCCACTTGGAAACTAACACTGAGTGATACTGTGGGTTTTTCTTGATGTTTGCAGAATATTGTAAAAGCATTTCTGGTATCCAGCCCACGTTCCATGTTTTTTCCTAAGTTTGTGCTGCTCTGCTTGCCCTGTTGAGCCCTAGAGTGAGTCTCCAGATGATACATAAACACTGTTATGTAAACACATCTCAGCCATTCTGTAGCCAAACATAAAAAAAAGTTTGAAATGAGGATAAATAAATACCAGTTTGTGTATAAATATTTCAGATGCACTTCAGAAGTGCTTTTTATTCATTTGTTTCAACTAACTTTCTTTGCTGTAGTAGAACAGCTTGACATGCAAAAGTTATACAGTAAATCAGAGATGTGCTTATGATCTTCCTGAACTCGCTGGTTCTATCACATCATCAAGCATATTTTTGTATTGTCTTCAGTGTGTTAGTAATGACATTTCAAGTTATAGAAAATGTCCACTACAAGCTGGTAGATTTAAGAGCTTCAGTGAGCAAAATCAGAATTATGTCAAATGTTAAAAGCAGTGAATTTGAGAACATTTTTGAAATAGAAGGGATCTGCACTCATCCAGGGAGAAAATTGAGACAAGATCAAAGTTATGGGAGGCTGCAGATGTGTGATCAATTGATAGGAATCAAAGCAGAAGAAACTTCTGTATTAAGAAAATATTAATTTCACAAATGGATGTACATGTGAATGAAACAGGATTTTATTACACTCCAGAATATTGAGCCTGAAATGCGCTAGTGAAGCATTCTTAAAGAAACTTAATTATTCTGTTATAAAAAGACTCAAAAACTGTAAGTCCATGTTTTCTCCAAGAACCTGTTCTTACTCATACAATATAGTGCTGGTCTTGGTCTTATGTGCACCAAGAATCTGATTTTGTTATAAATCTATAGTTCTCTGACAAATATCTGAGACATAGTACATGTTTGGTTTAAAGGACTGTTTGACTATTCATGGCTTGAAAGAACGTGCTGTATATTTTCCTTATGACCATCTTCATTAATATTAAATTGCCATAACTCTTCCAAAATGATTTATTTGCTGCATTTTAACTTTCAGATTGTTGCAGAGTAGGGATTTTTATTCATTATCAGTTGGGGAGTAAATTAATGAACACAACCAGAAGAGAGGCTGTGTGGCATCAATCAGTTTTGCACCACAGATTGTTTTATGATTGGGATCAAATTGTTGCCTTTAGGCATTGTTTTTGTGTTTTTAAAATCACAGAGGAGGCCTTGAATTCATTCAGTGCCAATTTATTTTAAATTGCAGGTGGCCTCCTGGAAACGTGACATTCATAATGCCAGAGATTAAATCATTCTGAATTTCTCTTGATGCAAAATGGGTCAGTAAGACTTCGAATGTTGAGCCACCTTGAGTCATTTTGACAGATTGGTTTTGGAGAAAAAAACTTAACTGCCTTTGATAAAACTGAGTTTTCCATTGCTTGCTTTCTTTGACTTCCTGTGATCTTTGGAGCTTTTCGAAAAACATCTTTACCTTTTGGGGGGTATACACCGAATCTCTTGCTTACGGAGATAAGCAAGTAATTTGAAATTGATCAGTTTCAGGCACAAACAGAAATGGTCAATATTTTAAGATGTACGAGAGAAAAGAGAAAGAAAATGATATAACATAATAAAATGCAGAATAAAACTCTGTAAACTGAAGAATTAAGTGTGTGCTGTATTTTGTAAAAGTTTACTCATTGATAAAATTAAGGATTAAGTTTAGTTTTTTTCAAGTACTGTGTACAATTTACAATTACTATTTTGTTTGCATATAAAGGTATGAAATCTTAATTACTATTGCATGCAATTATTTTAATGGCTGCAAGATGCATGATGTTTTTTGCAATGTACAGAATGGCCAAGCAGGAAAAACATTTGAAAAGGGTAATATTAATTCATTAACAAATACTTCATTATATTAATGAAAAATTCATTTTTACCGAGGGTAGTTTTCAATTTCCATTTGTAAATACCATCACAGGTGTTTCCTTGGAAACCGATAAAAGGTAATCCTTTTTGCAGCAATAAAAAGGCACCAACAATAGACAAAAATGAGTCTGTTGTCAGCATTAGGGACAGAATTCATCTTGATGCTATCACAAATTTAACCTGAGCTCTAATTAATTAAAGGCCCACAATTGCATTTATTGTAAAAGCACTATAAAAGGTACTTTTTAGAATCTATAACAAGACCAAGATTGTAAAGCATAATTATGTCTATAAAATATTCATAAACTGCAAAAAGAGTAATCTACATATATTTTCATTGTAACAAGTAGAATTCCTGGTGGCTAAATTGACAATGAACTAAATGCTTTTTGTGTGAATACATTTTAATGTAATTTTAGCATTAAAATATTGACTTTTCAGTTGGTAATCTTCACGACATTAAGATGCATTTAGTTGCCACAATTAAGTTTTTGTTTCCGGGAATATTTATTGAACTGCATGAAGTGTCATTTACAGAATCATTGTCCCGCATATACAGGTCCCAGTGGCAATCTAATATCTTCAGATTTCAAGAAGCCTTCATGAAATGAGCTTCAAGCTCTTGACATAACAAGTCTCAGATACAACAAGCAAAAACAATGCAAGCGTATTATGAAGATTAGTCCTGCAATACAAATCATTTGCTGCTATTGATTGTAGCCAATCATTATCTTGGTTTTCAGAATATTGCATGCTAGGAAAACCTAAGATTTATGCTTTAGATGTAGGCAGCTGTGTGGAGCAGCGATTAGTGTTCTGGATTTATAATTGGAAGATAGTGGGTTCACACCCCAGATCGGACACTGCAAGGAACTTCATCCAAAATCCTCCAGTAAAATTTGCATCTGTTTAAATGAGTGCAAAGCTCAATTGCTTTGGATAAAAGCATCAGCCAAAGTAGACATTTAGTTTCACTCCCCTAAAAAGTTTGTCAAAGATCTGGGAGATGTTTGAAAAATGGTTTAGCAGTTTGGACTCTGACCACAATTTAATGATTTGGGA